AACCTCTACTGTTTTAATGGTAAGGCTTTTACATTTTTAGTATGTGCCGCATCTCCAGACTAATACTACGACTCCGGACACCGACAACGTGTTCCTACACCCACCACTACAGCATCTACTCTAACCCATGTCGAAAATACCTTTGTTTATTGACTCCACACAAATCTCAAATGGTGCCCGCAAAAGGTGCTGACTCGCGATAGGACTTTCGCCCCTTTGGGCGCTTACGGTACCTCCTCCTCTCCGGGTATGCACTGCCACCATACTTGCCCATGCAGCGGTTCTTAGTGTGACCGTGGAGATGGCAAACGCTGCACTTGTACGGATGCACAGCCTTTTTGACGCGTGCGTAGCTCGGCGGGCGGCCGGCTGCCGTGCGCCGAAAGGGTGGAGCATCGCACTCGCCTGGTGCGGCCAGCTTCCTCCCCAGGACGATGCGGTCCACACAGGAACCCCGCACCGTTGAAGAATAAGTCTCCGCCCAGTTCTTCGTGGTGTAGAAGTCGGAGACGAGGGTGCGCGGGTCTTGCTTTCGCTTCAGAGCAAAGGCCACGGCATGGGAGCAAGGAAACTGGTACTGGTCCCAGTTTGAGCAGTCGCAGGTCCTCACTTCCATGTTGATGTTGACGTTGAAGGACCTCCATTCCTTGGGGTCGTCGGTGTCCTTGGTCTGGATGGTTCCTTCCTCGTGATCCCCGCCCAGTAGCTCGTACCCCTCCGCCCGGGTCTCCTTCTGCACCATCCGCTCCTCAGCTGCTTCCGTGAGTATAGCAGTTCTCTCTCGCGCCGCCATTTTGCGTTCACAATACTTATCCCGATACCAGTCCCAGAGACCCCCGAGTAGGGGGGTGACCGGCAAGCGACGAATGGGCACGATTGAGCTGTTCACCTGCTCTGCTGCGTTGCTCGTAAATATCCCAAAGCGACGGGTTCGGGCCTTAATGCGTGTCCAGTGGACGAGGTTTATGCCCAGCTTCTTCCTCGTACCACGCTTGTTCTGCCTAAACCCTGTCCTCACGCGTGCAGTATGGTCCCCTTCCGAGACACCGACCTCAGGCGTGTTATCTTCGGCGTCCTCGTCTGCCCCCGCCTGGTTCCTCTCTGTTGCCTCTGGGTCAGCCGCATCATGTGCCTCTGCCTCCTCTGCATCAGCCTCCTCCGCTTCGTCCTCCTCAATGTCGGCTTCAACCCTCACACGGGGGGGGCCACTACCGACATCCGGCCACGGGTGGTCCAGAGTGACAACGACCAGTGCCTGGCATGTATTTCCCCCAGCCTGCTCCTCTCCCCCCTGGCTCGACTGCCCGCTTGATCCTGTTGCACGTGGCGGGTCCGTCCGGATGCTGCTGGGGATGTAACCTGTCCTTACGAGTCGCGCGATGCGAGCATAGTCGAATGGTCGTGAGGCTGCAGGCGTCGAGGCTGAGGGACGACTGGGCGGCTCGGTTGTGGCCGGGGGCTCAGCCCGCGGAGCCGTACGGGCAGATGTGCTCGCGGTTGGTGTTGGCTGTGGTTCAGGAGATGGGGCAGCCGGCCCGCTCGCGTCACCCGCCCCACGACCATGCGCACGTGATGTGGTCCCCAAACCCCTGGCGGCACGCGCTGCTGCACGACCCTGGCGGCGGTTCTCTGCAGCTTGTTGACGTGCTTCAGCCGCTGTAGTGGGAGCGGGACGTTGCTGCTCTGCTGCATCTGCCGGAGCTGGACCAGAGTTCGGCTTCTCGTCCCCGACGAGATAGTTCATCATTTCCTTGAAGTCACGGCGGCCTGCAGCAACCAATGCGTCCCATTTGTCCAAGTCCCTGCACTTCACAAGAAGCCAATAGAACAGAGCAGCTGCCTCTCCAAATTTCACAACATTCTGATGCAGATGCCAAGCACAAAAGTAATGCGGTATGCCAGCCGGGAGTACATCTCTCGCAGCAGGAATGAGGCCCTTGTCGCGATCGCTGATAATAGATGCATCGTCACGGTGCGGCCACTCCGGGAAGCTTTCCAGAAAGTGTTGCAGGAACCAGGACCAAGAATCTTTGTTCTCTCCTTCGACCAGAGCCCACGCCAGCATCAGAATCTTCTGGTTACCGTCGAGGACCACGGCAATGAGCAGGGTTGCGCGTTGAGCACTGATTAGGAAGGTCCCGTCTAGTGCAACAACGGGGCGGCAAAAACCAAGAGAACCGCGGGATGCGGACGGCTGAATGTACATCCGGTGGAAGCATCCGTCAACCGTCTGAATCTTGAACTTTCCACCCGGATCGTTCTTCTCGAACCTGCGAGCCAACTCCGGTAGCAGTCTGAACGACTCCTGCCAATCCCCGTACATTTCCTTCTGGATTGCCTCACGCAGCCGCCACGCCTGCTTGTAACTGATGACAAACTTGCTGTGGGCCGAGAGAATCTGCTGCAAGGTCTTCGCCGAAATGAAAGGTGCGCCACGAACAAGGTTTCCCCATTGACGCTTCATGACCCTGATGCTGTTGGCGATGGCGTTTGCTCCTTGCTCTCGCATGAATTTGCGTCAGATGTGAGCTTCAGGGGGGGAAAGCGACGTCACTTCCCAGAATCCGCCACGTACAATCTTACTGTAACTGCATTCCCAAGGGCAGATGGGCTTTACTCCATGCATGGCGGTTTTGCATTGGAGGATCACGTGGGCATCCGCCACCTCGACTATACCGAATCCAAAACGGTGCCGCAACGCGAAGGCTTGCACCGCCTTTAGAGCCGCACCCCTCGAGGAGTATATTGCACCTTGTGTCAGTGGGGCATTATCTCTAGGGGCTCTTGGTTGTGCTTCTGGAACGGGGGAGACGTTTCGCATTGCCTCTAAGATACTATTCGCTATACGCTCGGCGCGGTCAGGTGGTTCCGACATGGTTGCTACTGGGTGTTGAAAGTAAATCGTCACATCTGATGCCAATGGAGGGTACTCGCAACCTTAAACAACTTAGAAACCCACCCCCTAAGCTGCTCTTGACGATGGTACAGTATGGCCACAACTCTACGTTGATGACTGAACAGCAGTTGATTCGGGGTGGAAAGGTGGGGCAAATGCAATTTCCAGGCGGGAAACTGAGCGCGCTCGACAGTGGCAGCGATTTGGACATCCAGCGGTGTTTCACGGGGCGTTAGCCAGACCTCTCTGGTGTAACGACAGTGGCGGGAGTGAAAGTTCTGGCGTCAATTTCGATCCGCGCGCGAAATTGTGCGGCTTGGAAAGTTTGAAGTGTTTCACGTGTTGTTCACGGGCCACGCGTCGAACGTGAGTGGCGGGAAAATCGAGCGCCCGGATAAAAGGGTACAGTGATTCCGTGATCGAAGGAAGAAATCTACTTGTAATCATTCTGCCAGCCTGATCCGAAAGCTCCCTGGGCGGCGTGTAATGATGGGTCGCGAAATTCAGTTGGAATAGTCGCCACGGGCAGAAACCGTTAGCCATGTCAAAAGTCGTAAAAAACTACAAGATCAGTATTGATGGGGAAAACTGACCGCGGGAATCGGGCGCGGGCGCGTTAAGGGGGTAGTGGGAAAACCACTGCCCATTGGAATTGGAGTCGAGCAAGCACCGCGGTTCGTCATTCCCTCACAAACAACTCACAAGAACCACACACCCGAGGTGCGTTTTCTGACGACGGTTCAAATTGGGGGACAGAAATGCGGGAAAGGGGAGGACCACCAGCAGCAGGCCCTCAGATTGGTTTGGGGGTACACTGAGGCCTCAGGGCAGTTTTTAGGAAATCAGAATTTGCCCTGAATTGTCAGGGCTGCACAGGGTGAGGTATCCTGAAATGTCAGTGCGATATTTGACTGTATCCTGGCAGTTCAGTGCTACATTTCGTACAGCCCTGTATATTTCGCGCGTGTTATGTTAGCGGGGTTCGAAATGCTCTCCGCATTCGAAGTGTGTAATCCTGGGGTGCAGCTGCAAGTGGCTGGCAGTGCAAGTCGCTGGCAGCTGCATAGTGCGAAACTGTTACAACCCAGTACGGTACAAGCTGATGGCGAAGGTGGCAGTGGACATCGTGGGCCAAATTATTCCTGATGTAATTGGCCTCCGTGTTATCTCACATGAAGTGCGGTAGTGGGTGGATTGCCAGTCTGTTACACAAGAGGTCGCCAGCTTGATTCCCGATGGCTCTTATGGGTCTGTTTCGGGGAACTCGCCCCGAAGTCCATGAGATTTTTGGTGCAGTACATCTCGCTTCAGGGCGAGATTCGACACTATCCTGAGTCGTCAGGGCCGAACCTACAGGGTTATCCTGAAGTTTCAGTACGTAAAATAACCATTATACTGATTTTACAGGACAAGATATTCCCTTATGCTGTTTTTTCAGGAGAAGCACACGACACCTATCCTGAATTCAGGAGAATCAGGATAAATTATCCTGATAACATAGGCCCTGACCAGCAGTGTGTTGACGTCACAGCACATACGCCGCCGGAGGAACCATCGTCAAAATCTTGCGAAGCTGCCTTGTGGACTTGATGGCAACGTCACAAGCGATCACGTAAATGATCGGCCGTAGATCCGCGCCAAAAATGCTGCCACGCTGGCCAGATTATCGTGCTGTTTCGTACAGATCACCAAATTGGAGTCACCTCGACCCTCCACGCACATCCACTGTACACGCCAGCCTAATCAGACCAGACCAACCGAGAAGAATGCTATCCGATATAAATGCTTCAACTCTATATATGGATCATTCTAACAGAGCGCATTTATTGGAATTGCGTACTACATACATGATAAATCCAACTGAATGTATGGAATGTATGCGGTGAACGAAACCAATCATCTCATGCCCCCATCAATAAGTTTGAGTTCACCAAGTTCCACCATGTGAAACAAAAGCTCGCCTGCAGTTTGGTCCCCTAGGACCTTGAATTGCAGCATTTTATGGCCCCCAAGTGTTATTGACGAGGCAATGCAAATCAAGCTACAATAAACAGTGAACAAAGGATGAACAAATAATCAAGCAGCCAGCCAGTAATAGGTTTGCTCATGACAATTTAGATGCAGCAGGGGCAGCAACAGGTGCATCGGGATGGAGAATCAGCTCAGGTCCGGTTGGTGGCCCCAGTGAGCATCTGTCTGTGCTGTGGGTTGCCAGGGCGTCCTTCAACTTCTGAATCTGTAGGGGTCAAAGCACCACACAGAACTAACAGGAATTAGACATCATAATGAAAGGACTGCAACGCACCTGAATGATAGCAGGGAGGAAGAGCTATGCATAACAAGCAACAGTGTAACGCAGGTGGCAGAAGCACGCAGGCATGCAAGACGTACTGACCTTGGCAATGGAGGCAGAAAAGGCGTCTAGGCGGCCCTCTGCTCCTCGGTAGAAGTGGAACATGGGTAGGAGGCGAATGTTGAGGCTCTTGCATAACGGCTTGTTGTGGTCGAAGTTGATCTTCAGAAACAAAACATCCGGGTACTGAAGTGCTAGCTTGCAGAGCTGAAGGTTCGAGAATGGGTGGTGGGAGAACAAAAGAGGCACATAATATTTTGGATGCATTGTGACCCGGACAATCTGAATCTATCGTTAAAAATGTATACGTGTGCATAACCCTGGGCGTATACTCAGGTAATGAACCTCAAAACGGAGAATTGATTGAAAGCAACATCACGTTTAATTCGTGTTCATACTTTGTGGAAGACCTTATGAGATGACGTTTCTCGTCAGTATCTAGGGCGTATCAATGGCGGCAGCGCACTAGCAGCCTGCATTGAAGCTTTAAAAGCTCTGAAGCGTCGAACTCCGACCACCTGTGCCTTCAAGCTGGGCTAGTATTTCCCTAACAGAACATCTACCCCACTCACCTTGGGATATAAGGCTCGGCAGGCGCCACACCAGGTGCCGAAGAATTCAACCACGACCAGCTTGTCGCCCGCTTCGCCCAGGGCCTCCACGAATTCGTGCGTAGAGTTGAGGTCTCTCATGTTGGGCGGCATGTTCTTCTCCCACCAGTTCTCGCCATCGCTCTCCACCTTGGACGCCTGCACGCCGCTGCGCGGCGCTTGACCTGGACTTAGCACGGCGGCTTGGGCTTTAACTGCTACTTGTCGGCCTTTAAAGGTAGAGAGGTTAGGTAGGGAGACGAACGAGGGAGTTTGGAGTCGGAGTGAAGAGGTTTGGCTGGAAAGGGTATTGGCGGCGTTCGCGGCGCCGACATTAGAGGCGAGTGCAGCCGCAGCTGTAGCCATTTATGCTAATGGGTTGACCGTTGAAGGAAACGAGTCAAGTACGGGCCGACTGCTACGACAGCTGGAGAAAAGAAAGCCCGTGCTTAGTGCGACGGGCCTATCGACCTTAGGAAACTCGAGCACTTGATTTAGTAATAGATCGTGAAGAAAAAGAGAAGGCTGGTGCTCGAAACTGCTAAGGAATAACGAGGAGAAACGACTACGTGATTATGAGCCAACAAACTATTTACGGTAAAGTTCCGCCCGCTACGCTGTCTCGTTTGACCGGTTACGCGAGATTCGAGGAACAATCAGTGCATCAATGGCGGCTGTCGTTCGGTTCGATTGGCGAGGGGAGGCGTGATTGGCTGTGCCGGGCTTTGCGGGGAAGCTGGAGGGCAAAACCGATGGAGAGGGAGGTGAAGGAGAGGGGGGAGAAAGAGCAGCATGGAATAGGAGGCCGGGCGAAGTTGGGCTGGCAGCCACGGAGATTGTCGAGTCATCGCGCTGACAAGATCGAGGGAAAGAGCGATGACCGAACGGGTGGAGGAAAGTGACCGAATCCCGATGAGGCAAGTCGGTGTGTGTGGCGAGGAGGTGCTGACCTGACACGTGTTCAGTCCGTATTCAACCAACTGCTGGGTGTAAAGTGCAGAGAAAGCGGAGCGTGGCACCTGCAAGTGGTCGTGAGTCCAGAACTTGGAGGCTGATGATTCGTTGATTGGTCCCCGCGTGGCAATCAGTGCAGCTCTCAACGAAGCAGCCCCCGAACTGGGACCACCTACTTGTTACGCGTTCCGTAACACAGAAAATCGTAGTAAATTCATCAGTATTTAACACTGCATTTTACCCAAATTCTTTCAGACTCAACAGCAGGGAGGATATGTGATATCTTGCATACTTGGAGCTTCATTGTGGTGTGGTGTGGAGGTACAAAGGCTGACAAGGAATGATAGCATGCGTGTGTAACATGACTCCAAGGAGATATCCTCTCAACGCTACCACAACACCTACCATGAATGCTTCAGACAATACCAAGGCATGAGCACAGAACACCTCACAACTCCACAACTTGGACAGTCAGCCCAGATTCCTCAACACCCACAATACCATCACCACCACCACCAAACCCATTAGGGTGCTTCTCTGGGAGAGGCAACCCCGCCAGAATGTGCGGCACAAACCCAACCACAGAAGTGAGCCTCCTATCCACCGCTGCTTGCTGCATGACACACCGGTGGAGACGCGCGATTGGCTCCAAGCAATCCGGGAGCATGAGGAGGCGGGTGATGTGGCAATCTACCAGTGTCGACACCCACGCGAAGATTCTTTCCAAGCGTGGAACCGGGAGGAACGGCCGGGCCCCGAAGACAGAGTAGGCAGGAAGCTCAACAGCGAATCCCCGAGCCGCGTACACGTCGACCCATTTGGCTAAGTATGAGAAGAGGAAGCGGACGTGCGGCAGGGAGAGAGGCGCCAGGGCAGCTGCGAGAATCGTATCGTCGAATGGGACGGCGACAACTGTGTGGAGGATGAGCTCGGCGTCAGTGAACGCGTCCAGCTCAGCAGACGACGTCAGCGCAGCTGCCAGCGAGGACTGAAGCTTGGCATGGGACCTCAGAATGGCTTTCTTTGACTGCAGAGCAGCATCAACCAGCACTGAACGCACATCTGCCACGGCCCTCTTACCCCTCAGCCTCCTCAACTCCGCCACCCTGCTGCTCACAAATCCCTGACCACCCTTCTGCACCCCTCCTACCTTCCCACCCACCGTCTCCTCCTCCTCATCTGCACTTCTCCCTTTCTCTGCATCGCTGCCTGCCTGCCGCTCGCCCGCATGCTCACTGGCAGCCAAGGCATCATCAAGCAGCAAGCGGAGAATGAGAGCCAGGTGTCTGGGGGGCAGGTCTCCCATGTGCACCAGACACACCTCCAGTAACAGCACCTCCCGCTGAGCCACCAGGCTCGGCACCAGGTTCGGGCACAGCGCTGACGTGACCTGGCCGGAGCTGACAATGGCTCGGAGCGGCATGCGGTGGGAGCGTGCCAGCGCGTGCTGAGTCAGCGCTGACACGACCGAGGGCGAGAACAGCCGCACGCATTCACAAACTGCCGCGGCGAGCGGCTGGTGGTCGACACTGAGAACAGCCATGGCTGCTGCGGCAGCTGGGGGTGTGAGCCCGCTCTCCTCAGTCAGCTGCTTGGCACAGTCCAGGATGAGACGGGCCAGCCTGTGCTGATCGGCCAAGGAGGCGTCTCTGTCTCTCCCTCTCCTCTGGCCCGTGCTGCTGCTGCCCCCTGCCATGCCATCCGCCTGCTCCAGTGCCCTCTCGTATGCGTCCTTTTCCTCTCCTGCTTCCTCTTCCCCCTCCTCTCCCTCTTCTTCTTCTTCTTCCTCCTCTTCATCCTCATCCTCCTCCATCTCCTCTTCTCCCTCCTCCGCCTCGCCCTCTTCCATATCCTCTCCCTCCTCTCCCTCCTCCCTCTCCACCCCGTCCTCAACACCTTCACTGCCTATCTTCTTCCCGCCCTCCACCCCCTGCTCGTCCCTCACAGCCATACCCTCCAGCGCATGCAGCAGAGCCATCTCCGCCTCGCTCCCCACAAAGGACAGCCACTGCCGCCCATTGCCGTCCGCAGCGCGGGACAGCTGCACATCCATGTGCAACCTTCCAAACCGCGCCTTCCCACGCGACTTCCTTGCCCTTTTCTTCTCCTTCCGTTTCTGCTTCACCTGCCCAACTCCTGGCTTCAACCCTCCTCCCACTTCCTCTTCTTGCTGGCTCTCTTTTGACACGTTCCTTCCTGGAAGGTTCTTCACCAATCCCGAGTCGTGCAGAGTGGGCCCCACAAACCACCCAGTCGGCTGTAGTGGGTTGCTGTGGCCCGGCCCAGATTTGTCTGCTAGCGCCAAACCAGCCGCCCTAGCAGCAGAAGCAGCCAAACCACCCCACCCGGCAGTCACGACACCTGCAGGCACCCCCCGTACTTTTGCCGAATCAGTCCTGGCTGCTCCGGAAGCAGGCTCGGCAGCAGGTTCGGTGGGCAAGAGCAGGGGCACAGCGGGTTGGAAAGCCCCTAGAACGGAGGCCAGGGAGAGTGGGGGACAGTGCACATGCAAGGAGTGCAGTGCGGTTGGCGTGGTAACCAGCAGGGAGGCGTCTTCTGGGGAGGGGCCCACCCATTCCGCGTGAATAAGCGGCAAGGGGAGGGGCGAGGGGGGGAGGGAGGCGGGGAGGGAGCAGGAGGAGGGGAGAGGGGTGCAGGCGTGCACACAGCCAAAGAGGGTATCCAAGGCAATGGCATAGAGCGGCAGGTGAGCGGGGGCTGCATTGCCTGTGGTGCTCACAGTGAGTTTGGTGTGAGAAGGGGGCTTGGCAGCGAGTACAAGACAGTAACGGGTCCCAGGCACTGCAGCCATGGCTGCTGCTGTCACCCTCGCATGGGCAGACGAGGGCTTTGAGTTTGGGTGGTGAGTGGCACCGCCCCCAGGTACCACCTGCGTTGCCGTCACTGCAAGGCTTCGTGTCAGGGATGCTTCGAGGAAAGCGGGGGGAGTGGGGGAGTCCTTGGAGGTGTCAGGTGACGGGGCTTGGGGTGGGATGGTGTTGGGGAAGCACTGCCACGTGGCATCACTCCATAGGAGCTGGTTTGGAGAGAGACAAGGGGGGACAGAAAGACGGCAAAGAATGATGCATGAACAAACTGATATGACCTATCCTCAGGTGGCGGTTCATATGTCAGAGAACAACAAAACACAGCACCGCACAGCACAGCACAGCACCGCAAAGCACAGCACCGCAAAGCATAGGCAGTCACTCACCATAATCTCGCCTGCATCACCCACGCACAGCGACACCACTGCACGCCCTGCTTCCTCCCCTCCTGCCTCGTCCTCCTCTTCCTCCTCCTTTTCCTCCTCCTCACTTTCCTGCCTAGGGTTCCTGACTCTGAAGGCCTTCACTAGAGTCACCTTCACTACAGGCACATCCCCATGCCCGTCGCCTCGTGCCATGACATCCACATCAGCCATGGCCGCATCACCCGCCGCCCCAAAGGCCACATGGTACACCCGCACCACCCTTGCCGCTCCGCCCCTGCCGCTTCCCTCGCTCGTTCCCTCTCCTTCCTCCACACCCACTACGGCCAGAACCCACTCATTCCCCCGCTTCCCATCCCCCTTGTGCCCAAACCAGCTCCCCGATCCTGAGGCCTCCACGCGAATCTTAGGTCCGTCCGCAGGCTCGGTGAGCGAGAAGGTCAGGGAGAGGTCCGGCGAGTAGGTTCGGATGGAGCCATCCGCGCAGAGGGCGAGAACACCCCCAGACGGCGGGACGGGGGGAGAGGTGGTGGTGGTGGTAGCGGTGGCGGCGGTGGCAGGTGTGGTCTCGGCTGCAGGCTTCGTCGCGTCTGGTGTTGTGTAGGATGGGCGGGGAGGGGAACGGAGCAGGAACGGCAGAGGTTGGAGACGGAGTGTGAGAAAAGGAGAGTATACGACAGGGAAGGGAGAAGCGCTGTGCGCACGCGGGGAAAAAGGGAAGAACGAGCACGGGGTGGCATGTACCGGGGTGGCACGTGTGCGAGCATTGCATACATCCAACGATCACGAGCACGCGAGCAATGGACGCGTCGCACGGAGGCCACTTACCAGTGTCGGCGCTTCCTGTCGCAGTCAACGGAAACAGGCGGACGATCGGCCTATCAGCTTCCACCACGTGGCACCCGTCCGCCGCGCCTGTCTTGTGCAGGAGCAAGGAGGGCGCAAGGGAGGACGCGCCGAAAGGCCAGCTCGCCAGCACCTGCGCATCCGCCCTTGGCGCGCCCGCCCCTGGCGCTTCCGCCGCTGGCGCGTCCGCACTCCCCTGGAGCAGCGCGTAGTGGTGGCGGGACGCGCGGTCGGAGACGCACGGGGACGCGAAGCGGTGCGTGGGCGGACCCAGAGGCCATGCGCGGAGCCGGGTCTGGGGGGAACAGGGGGGAGCAGGGGGAACGGGGGCAACCCAAGAGGGGGGAGCAGGGGGGACAGGGGCAATCCAACAGGGGGGAATAGGGGGAAAGAGGGGCCGAGAAGGATACCAGGGAGGGGGAGGAATGTAGAAGAAGGTTCAGGGTTGAGGGTTCCACCTCTAAATCTCGGCTGGACGCATTAGGAAGGGACGCGAGCGAGACGAGGCAGTAGGTGGTACGGTACACCAGCGGTCAAGCGCGGATTCGAGCATGCTTGAAACGGGAGTGCGGGGAGAAAGGGAAGGCGCGAAGGATGCGCGAATGGAAGTTAGGATCCCGGGTTCAGCTCCTAGTCATAAACGGCGACTCCGGGTTTCTCGATTCTCGCAAATCAGTTCTGAAAAGTTCAGCCAATGTACGGCCTAAGATTGTGCCTGTGCATTCGGGATGCAAAGATCATGCTTCTATTGCAGGTGAAGACGCCATTCGCGATACAAGACGGCAGCCTTCATGCGGGCACGCGCCGACCGAAACTCACCCGAGAGGACACGGAGAACGTGGACGAGCCGTCCGACTGCCTGGAGAGCAGGACGGTGGAATCGTCGACTCTCGACGCCCCTATGAACACCCCAGGCGGTTCCTTCCGTGTGCCTACCACTGACCATGAGGTCTCCTGTAACCCCCCTGGTAACCCGCACAGATGAACGGCGTCAATCTCCATGGCGCGAAATGCTACCCACTTCACCTGGTTGTGACGGGCTAAGTCGGATGGAGACTAAAATTATGATCTGGGAATTGAGGCAGAAATGGGTGTTGAGGTTTTGGGAACTGAGCAGGATGAAGTGCGGCGAAATGTTTTTCATTCTATGAGCAGATTCGGTAGTGATACACGCTTTTGTTCAAAGATGCTTCCTGCAAAAGTTAACTCCACTGATCGACATTCGAGAACCTTTCATGAGATTGCACTCTGCTGAGCTGACGCGTACTACCATGTCGTACATTCCCCGCGCCACATTTCCGTCCCTCGCCTGTCGCCATTCCGCTGGTCGTACCATTCTCCTTGTTGGTACGAAGCTGATCTCCTAGTAGATTTTCTTCGTGCCAACCCACCTTCGTCGCTGCTCTGAGAGACGATTCGTGTAGCCTCGTTAGTCGCCATGGCTGCGATATCTCCTGTTGTGGCTAGCGCGATTAGAGGCAGCACATTTGCGCTGTCCTGCAAGAGCAACGCCACGAATACCGTTTCCCAGCGACTCGCTATTCGTCGAACGCGATATGATGGTCTTCGCAATAAGGTCAGCGACCAGAGCCAGTACATTGAAGCGGAAGACATCTCTTGATGACGAGGAGCGCGTGATTCTATTCTTTAATAATGAGATACCGAGTGTTTCATGTGATGAATCATGCGTCCTGGGTGCATTCGCAAGATCGCGCTATCGTGTCGCTGTCGCCGTCTTCATCGCGTCATATTCCCGTCCTTCCCCTTGACGTTAATTCCCGCAGGGGAACAGTGTTCCAGGTAGAGGCATGCGATCAGCACGACTGATCGAACGAAACGCACGGGCCAAGCTCCACGTGTCAGTCGCTGCAAGCCTTGAGATTGACATGGACTTCGCCCCTCCGCCTATCGACGGCGACCTGACGGTGCGTTCACCTGAAACCACCGTGCTCTGGTAACAAACAGCACAGCCGCATTGCTCCGGTTGAAATTGGACAAGACGAGTTCATCCTTCATCGTGTGTGTGCAGGAGACGATGGAAGATTATGGAGCGGAGTTTGATGCGGAAGGAGTGCCTGTGACGTTCAACAACAACGATGACGACGCCACTAATGCAGCCCTCAACTCTGTCGCTGTATGTCTCGTGCCTGGCGCGGGCCATTTGATGTCACTGGAGTCAGCTCTTCCCACGCATCAGTCACTGCGATCGTCATTGTTACTGCTACGCCTTCATACGCCTCCCTCCCTCTTCATCGTTCCGGCATGACGCGGTGTCCTTCCCTGTCGTGCGACCTCGTTCTCTGTGTCTTGGTTCTCATGCCTACTTCAGGTCTTTGACATGTCTCACTTCGGCAGAATCAAAGGTAAACAAGGGTCACAGAAATAGTAGATGATGGGGTTTGCAAGCGCAGACTGTGGCAGGCAGAAAGAAAAAGGGAATAAGAGAATCATTACAAGGACGGCATGAAGCGTGTCAGCATTCATGCAGTGACCCCAACTCGTAAGGCGTTGTTTCCTTCTACTATTTCTTTCACAGCCTCCGCTATCCTCTTCCCTTCCTTCCACTCTAGTTGGTTTGACTTGGACCTCACTGTGACCACGTGGCATGCTTTCCACACCACATTGCCTCTTCCTACTGACATCATCATGGCTGGCAGTATCTGGGGAAGACCGAATTCGATTCCTGCATAACCAGACCACGGCTGACTTCAACTCCCTCTCCCCTGGACAGGCGAGTAGCCTCTTTGTGGACTAATCCTGTCATGCATTGAAGCACTAGTGCATTCGTGCACCACCATGTTTTGCAGGCTATGATTCTGCTAGTGATTGCTTGTGTATGCAGGCCTGTACATATTTGAGAGCATTGAACTTGGGAGCTATACTCATTTCCCTTCGGCAAAACCTTCATGGCATTTGTGACTGACTCATTTGTGGCATAAGTCCCTTCATGACTGACACTACGTGCCATTGCATGACATCCTACGGCATTGCATAACAATATACTGCATTGGATGGCCTCTTTTTGATGGGCATGGTGTTGCATTGCATGGCATCATCTTGCATGTCACTACAGGGATGCATGACTGTGTTTGTGTCACCAACAGCCCGAACCATTGATCTCGCCACTGCATGGGTTATGGTGAGCACCCATAACCCATTTCTCAGCGCTATGTCTGCCTTGCTGCTTTTCAAAAGTCAGGCATTTCAGTTCTACTACATTTCTGTAACACGTGGCCACACTCGTTCCCATATTGATTTCACCCGCTTGCCTCCCTATCCTTCCACTTCCCACCTCCAACCCCGCCGATTTGTCGTTCCTCTGCTGCGTTAGGCCACTTCTGTTATTCTCACAGTCTCACCCGGCAAAGCTCAGAAGCTGGTTACCACAATGGACAGGTGAATGCAGCAACCGCTGATTACCTTGTTAGATAGGTAGGAGGGGTTGAGCGAGAGAAATGGGAGATGAAGGAAGGGGAGGCCAGTTCCTGCTCTTACCGTTTCTTCCAAGCAACTCAAATTTTCTGACCCCTATCATCCCACCTCTCCACACATCATTCTCTTTTTGTCATACTCTCATCACCCCTCTCACACCCACTGCCAGGAGCGTTGGATGCCAATTTTTTTTTTTTTTTTTTTTTTTTTTCATTCCACCCATCCCCCCATTCCATCCCACCTGCATATTCGCACTGCCCAATCCCTTTTGTCCTCATTCCCTGGCAGGTACATCTTCCCAGCGGACAAGGTATCAGTGGCGGACATTTCAGACCAGACCAGGCTGCTTGCCCTCATCGGCCCTCAGGCACCCACGGTCCGTCTTTCCCTCTTTGCTTCTCCTCGCTTGCACATTTCACGTTGGCACTGGCGTTGCCACTGTCAGCTGTCAATTCCTGCTCTTTTCTTGTACACTCTTCGTCACCTTCTGTAACACTCACATTTTCACCATTCACTCTTCATCACCAAGCGTGCCTTGTCACCCTGCTGCCATGCTTGTCTTGTTGATCCGCAGGTTGTGGAGAAGCTTGGTCTGAGCCAGCTGCTGGGGCAGCCGGAAGGGACCCATGCACACTTTGCTGTAAGCGGAAGCTTCTTGTGCCGCTGCTGTGAGCACTCTTGCATTTGTTGAATTCTGGAGAACCATGTCCATCATCATCATCATCCTTGCATCTGTATCACGCAAATTACCCACTCCCCCACTCTGATGTGTCCCCCCTCCCTCGACTCACCTCGGCCTCCTCCCTTCCACGTGCCCTCTTCGGGCCTTTCCCCTTGCACCTGCCCCTGTGTCCCCCTCCTCCTCCTCCCTCTTCTTCCCCTCTCCCCCGTTACAGGTTGAGGGGGCGCCGGCAACAGTGGGTGTGGGCAGTGGGCTGGGCGCCTCTGTGCCTGGGTTCCTGCTCATGCTGTCAGCTGACGTGGCGGGTCGCGTGTGGAGCCACCTCACCGACGGGTTTGGGATCACCCCGATTGGTGCGGCCGCGTGGGAGAGGCTGCGAGTCCAGCAAGGTGCTCATGGTGTACAATACGCTCATGCTTCCGACACATGCTTACTACTCCACCTCTGCATCCTTCTGCACCCCCATCTTTGCCTGTAACTCTGCCCATCGTAAATCCGCCTTCAAATCTGCGCTCACTTCCTCTCTGCTTCCCTGTACATTCTTCAAGAAGAAAAAAAAAACCTCAGCCTTCAACTCCTTCCTGGTGCCTGTGTTGAGCAGGGCGCCCCATGCCGGGGTCGGAGCTGACGGATGAGTTCAACCCACTGGAGGCAGCTCTCTTCCAATGCATCTCCACCACCAAAGGTCTCTTCCAACCGCTCCCTGCCACATGCTTCCCTGCACCCTCTCCTCTGAACTGGACCCCATGCTGCTCCTGGGAGCCCTCCTTTATTGCCTCCCCTCCGCAGCTCCTATTTTGAACTGAGGAATAATGAATGTGTGTGTGCGCGTTTCTTTGTGTCTGCTTTCACATTCCACTGATGTTGTCAGTTGGTGACTGACTGCACGTTTTGTCTCGTTACAGGGTGTTACATGGGCCAGGAGACCATTGCCAGACTGATTACATATGACGGGGTTAAGCAACAACTGTGGGGCCTCCGCCTCGCCAACCCAGTCTCTGTTGGTGCAATTATTACAAACAAGGAAGGAGCAAAGGTAATAAGGCCCCCCCGTTGTTCCTGCCTTTTGTCCTCTCAAGGATAATAGTGAATCTACCTATAACTTTTTTCGTTTCTTGCAGATTGGCAAGGTCACAAGTTGCGTCCACGGCCCTCATGTTCATGATGGCACAACCTCGTGCGAATACCATGCCCTCGGATACCTCAAGAGGCAAGAGGGTGGAGAGGGCACTGTTGTGCTTGTGGAGGGGCAAGAAGCTGCAGTCACTGACCTTCCTTTTGCTCAGAGAAACCTCAGTTAGCCACTTCAGCAGACCTTAGTATGAATTTAAAGCTTATGTGCCTTGGTGTACCTTGCAAAATATCTAGGGGTTTGCTTGTATGTGGCCCTGTATTGAGTGTTCCGTGCAAGTTGCGTTTTGTTGTGGCGTACTCCGGAAAACACGGGACATCTCCAGCACCCAGTGCCTTTTTCGGCCCCAGACGGCCTGCGCAATCCTTCAAGCCGCAACCTTCCGCTTCCGGAACAACCGTAGCCAATCCGCCCGTCCAATGCTCACCTAATTCTAGCTCTTGCGGTTAGATGACGCCACCTGTCACCTAGATTGTATCTTGCGCCATCCCCCAGTCAGCCCTTTCCGTACGCGCAACCACCGGCCGCCAGCTTTCCGCCTGGAAGACTGCGTCTTCGCTCTCGTTTGTGTCACTCTTGCCCCGCTGGAGAAACTTTTCTCCCTTGTCTGCGCATGCCTCCGCTGAGGTCAGTCCATCTCGCGCGCAGCTCGAGGTTGCCTGGCTGCCCCTCTTTCTCACCAAACAAAACACGGCTGCTACAGTTCCACTCGCTGCTAAAGGGAGAAGAAGAGTAGCGAACCCTTTGCTTTCGTTATCCACCCACCCACCACAGTCCTGCTGGGACCGGCCACCACTGACGCGTTTCGCTTGTTCTGCCATGCCTCTTGGAGGAACTGCTGAATTGCACGTATACCTTGAGAATGGCTGAAGTAAGACGAAGAAATCCATTATAGGCGCTGCTTTCCCCTTGCCGGCTTCGCGTGACGCCCTAGTTTTCTCTGTGTTTGAGTGATTTCTGGAATTGACCGCAAGCATTGTCTCCAGGCAAAGCCTTAGCGTTAATCCAAAAGCTCTGCATTTTTCAGTCGTCCTCTTTATCCATTTTGCTAGCGACCGTGTTTTGAATATACTACCATCTTCATCTTGACAAGGCCCATCTGCTCGAGATTGGCACTTCATTTCATAACACAATTAGCAGCAGCAAGCGAGCGAGCTGGCTCAAATCGAAACGGCACGAGCGAAGCACGGCATGTCGGACTCAGAGTCTCACGACAGCGAGGCGGATCACGTCTCCGGCGTGCCCTGCATCTCCGGCCAGCCGTCCTGCGGAGGCGTCTTCCTGCGCAACGTCTGGCCCTTCGCCGGCAGCGGGAAGAGCCTTCAAAAGAGCTACCTCCACAACAGCGTCCGAACCGACGCGGACGAAATCCATGGCGCGCAGCGCGACCCGTCTCCAAGCTCGAAAGCAGACGCTAACGCGGATGCTGATATCGAGCACAATGCGGAGCAGTCTGGGTCTGCAAGCGGCAATGCCTCCCCGATGAAGCGAGGATTTCTCGGTCGCATGCGGGATAGAGCGAGCTCTCCTTTCCACCTGGCGTCGGACTTGAGCCATCGCATGAGCAGCAGCGGAAGGGATAAGTCGCCGGGACGCGTCGCGGCTTCGAAGCGACGCGGCAAGTCCGATCGCTCCCCGCAACGCAGCCGCTCTAACAAATCACCTCTCCGCGCAACGGCAAGTTCAGATGAGAATGCGGCGCGAGACCAGGCGTCTGGAGCGGGTTTGAGTCAAGTTGTTAGCGAAGGAGCCGTTTTAGGAGATGCTGGTGACGTGACTGTAGAGAGAGTGACTGTAAGCGAGTCAGCGGCGGTAGGAATGGATATAAGCGGCGACGACGAGGCCGTGTCGGCGTATAAGCCGAAAGATGAGCCGAGAATTGCGGAAGGAGCGCCGTCGGATCAGGTATCCTCGGAGCCCAGCGTATCTCAACCGTCGATTGGGCAAGAGGAAAATCCTCCGAACGCGTTGCAACCTCAAGAGGATCAAATAGCAGATTCGCCAACAGCAGCCGTGGCTTCTGCCGCCGCGGAAGGCGCCGTGCTATCCGGCGCGAGACACGGTGAGGAGGAGGTGGAGGAGGAACAGGCGATGGAGCACGAAATGCAAGAGCTCACCGTGAGCGACGGTTCGGGAAGCGCTGGTGTTCCTGCCATGGCGGTAGCGGTCGCGGGGGCGGGCGCAATAGCGGGAGCGATGGCGGGAGCAGATGAGAATCGGAGAGAAGAGGAGGCGCCGGTTGCGGAGGAGGGACGCGGGGCGCTTGGAGGGGGGAGCATTGAGGGGCGCTCGGAGGCGAATGAGGATGGACGGTCCGAAGCGAGCTCGGACGTACATGCTGCCGCGTCTCTTCCTTCGCGCAATGACCCCCAGGTGAGCGTGCGCGAGTTTGTTTCGGAGGCGCCCCAAAAAGGGCGCGCGGATGAATTAGGAGGGGCGATCGGGGGCGAGTTTGGACGTACATGCTGCTGGGCCTTGTTCTTGGCTTTTGCGAAGCTGTTCTTAAGACGCGTCAAAAACAGCGGTGTGAGGTGAGGTAGGGGGGATGGGCGGAGACTATTGGGATCGGACATACATGCTGCGGGGCCATCTTCTTGGCGTGGTGACTGGCAAGTGAGCGTGCTCGAGTGAGAGTGTTGGACGGAGGGAGACGCCGGCAGAGTCGTGCAATGAGAATGTGGACAAGGCACGAGAAAAAGGCAAGCTTTGGTCACTCAGCCTGCATCACCCGAGGAGGAGCCTGTGATGTTAGATAGTCTGGACAGGTGTCTGGCGCTGCTGGGCTCGGGAACCCTACAAGCTCAAGGTCATACCAGCTCTATTCTGTTCTGTTTCCTCCAATCCCCCTCAGCCTCTCTCCTCCTCCCCTCCCCCCACCCCACCACCACCCCCCACACACACAGCCCGCATCACCCGAGGAGGAGTCTGTGATGTTGGGCAGTCTGGACAGGTGTCTGACTCTGTTCTCTCCTGACTCCTCACCCCTCCTTTTGCCCCCCTTTTCTCTTCCCCCTCCCCTTCCCCACACACCTCTCACAGCCTGCATCACCAGAGGAGGAGCCCGTGATGCTGGACAGTCTCGACAGGTGTCTGGCGCTTCTAGGCTCGGGCAATAAAGGCAAAGTCACCATGGCCCTCGTGGCAGTGCTGGCCTACGTGGCATCTGGTGACGTGGACAACATGAACAACGTCTACGACGCCCTCCCGTTCTCTCTCCTTGAGGCCGCCTTTCGGGCGGCTGTGGCCAAAGGTGTGTGGCGTGGGCCAAAGGTGTGTGGCGTGGGCCAAAGGTGTGTGGCGTGGGCCAAAGGTGTGTGGCGTGGGCCAAAGGTGTGTGGCGTGGGCCAAAGGTGTGTGGCGTGGGCCAAAGGTGTGTGGCGTGGGAATCACAGGAATAATGGATCCCCAAAATGAAAGGGGTAAAATGGATATCACAAGAATATTGCTATCTTTCTGGTGACTGGCGACGATTTCAATGCAACCCGAGTGTACCTATGGAAGGAGAACCGCGCTTGTGAGATTGAACCGTAGCGGCTACTGATTGACCATGTTAGCGTGCTCCTCTCATCCTTACCCTGGTTCTCTCGCGCCTCCCTCCACCCCAGGGAGCACGGGGTCGAACGGCATGGAGGAGGAGGAGGAGCTGGTGCATGCAGCACTGGTGGTGCACATAAAGCATAGAGGCTGCTGATTCACCGTGTCAACGTGCTCCTCTCACTCTTTCCCTTGTTCTTGCGCCTCTCCCGCCTCAGGCAGCACGGGGTCAAACGGCATGGTGGAGGAGGAGGAGCTGGTGCATGCAGCACTGGCGGTGCTGGCGCTGCTGCTGCAGGAGCCTGACCTCGCCTACGCGCCCCAGACCACCCTGCTCGTGCCCCACCTCGTCGGACTTATTCGCAACGGGTCAGTCCGTCCGCCCTGCCCTTGTGCCCTCTACCCTCTGTGTTTTGAGACGTCTCATAACACACTTGTTATCACGCGGCCTACGCGCCACAGACCACACTGCTCGTGCCCCACCTCGTTGGACTCATCCGCAACGGGTCAGTCTGCCTCGCCCTCTCTGCCCCCCTCTGCCGCATCTGCCTCCTGTGATCTGATGTGCTGTGCTGTGCGGGTTGGACCGCCACTGCCCCCTTTGCTCTTTTGCGCGATGCTGGGATGGGATGTGATGCTGGGCTGTTGGGCTATTGGGCTATTGGGAGAATGTAGGCTATTGGGTTATTGGGCTACTGGGCTATTGGGAGAATGTAGGCTATTGGGTTATTGGGCTAGTGGTCTATTGGTCTATTGGGCTATTGATCTATTGGGCCGTTGGTCTATTGGGCTATTGGGCTAGTGGTCTATTTTGGTCTATTGGTATATTGGTCTATTGGTCTATTGGCCTATTGGGCTATTGGGCTATTGGTCTATTGGGCTATTGGTCTATTGGACTTTTGGGCTATTGGGCTATTGGGCTATTGGGCTATTGGGCTATTGGGCTATTGGGCTATTGGGCTATTGGGCTATTGGGCTATTGGGCTATTGGGCTATTGGGCTATTGGGCTATTGGGCTATTGGGCTATTGGGCTATTGGGCTATTGGGCTATTGGGCTATTGGGCTATTGGGCTATTGGGCTATTGGGCTATTGGGCTATTGGGCTATTGGTCTATTTGGCTATTGGTCTATTGGGCTATTGGGCTATTGGTCTATTGGGCTATTGGGCTATTGGGCTATTGGGCTATTGGGCTATTGGGCTATTGGGCTATTGGGCTATTGGGCTATTGGGCTATTGGGTTGCTGCTCGTTGCAACCGACCGCCCCTCCACTCTGCCCCCCCACTCTATTGCAGCACCCGTCTCCCCCTCCCACCCTTCAGAACTCCTCACCTCCCCTCACCATTCCACCTCTGCCGCCTCCCCGTTTCCCTCTCCACCTTGCCGGGTTCCTGTTGCCTGGTTGGTCCACGGGACCACCAGGTACAACCCAGTGGTGGCGGTGGATGCATACGAGTGTCACCGGCACACCGGGCTCAAAGCTCTTCTCTTCCCCCCTTCCCTTCCCTCCCTTCACCCCCTGCCCTCCCCGTCCTTGCCCTCTGAACGCTCCGACCAGGTACGACCCAGTGGTGGCGGTGGACGCGTACGAGTGTCTGTTGGGGGTGGCCACGGGTTCAGATGCGGGCCTCAAGGCAGTCAAGGCCGCGGACGTGCTGGGAGTCGTGGCGGAGAACATTCAGCGCTCCAGCCCAGGTGCGTTGCTGCATAGCATGGGGCAGGTGGTGTATAAGAGAGTGCTGGGGCAGGGGCTGGGGCAGGAGCTGGGGCAGGAGCAAGGCTTAATAAGTTTAGGGCTGCATGCAAGGCGTTGCATGGTGGTGGGGAATATTCAGCACTCCACCCCAGGGTCCTTGTTTTGAAGCATGCGACAGGTGTGTCGTGCTGGTAAAGTTATGAACGATGACAGAAAGAAAACACTCTCTCTCCCTCTCTCTTCCCCCCTTTTCCCCAACCTTCACCCCACAACACCCCTTCCCTACACACCCCACCACTGCCCTCCCCTTCCCCAATGCCGCCCCTGGGTGCAGGGTGCGAGTCACTACCGTCGGCCATTCAGCTGCTGGGCTTCCTGTTTATGAGTGGCGTGTCTGACATCGAGATGTACGAGTACAAGCACGAATTCGCTGCTGCGGTGAGTGTCATGTGCCAACCACGGTGAGAATGAACAAGCACACACGTTCTCGCTGCTGCTGTGAATGCTCACTGCCAGGCATAGACCTTAAAGTTGGCTCAAAAGGTGACTTCCTAAGCGGCATAGAGATGGGACTTGCTTGACTGACATGCTAATGTATCAAGTCCTTATCTTGTCTACACTTCCTATCGTCTCTCCCTCTTTCCTCCTTTCCCTCCCCATCCACTCGCTTTCCTTTACCCCCAATCGCAGGTGCCGGCGCTGGCGAGGGAGTTAGCCCAGCGCACGGACATGCTAAAGTATGAAGTGCTCAAGCTGCTCGTTGCTATGCTCTCCTCCGAGCCTGCGGTACGTTCGTGCCCGCTGCCTGGCTTGATTGATTGGTGCGAGGGCAGGAGGGAGGAGGGAGGAGGGAGAAGGCAGAGGAAAGAGCGGCGGAAGAATCATATGCTGAGTTGCTAAAGCTCCGCCCGCCCCACACCCCCGCTGCTCCCCCGCTCTGCCTCGCTCACGATGCGCCATTCACCCGGAGCCAGTGAAGTCGGTGGTGCAGACCTTTGATTCCGGCAGCGAGGGCAGGCAGGCAGTGGGCACGTGATATGCATGTCTGGGGTCCGTCTTCCTGTTCTTTGGGCTGACCCTACTCCTATCCCCTCTCTCCATGCGCTCCTCACCAGGAGCCGGTGAGATCGGTGGTGCAGACCTTCGATTCCGGCAGTGAGGGCAGGCAGTGGGCGCATGATATCCGGGCAGGCCTGGCAGACATTCTCCTGGACAGCAACGGGGAGGAGTTTCGAAAGGACGCTCTGCAGCTCGTGCGAGTGGTGGCCGAGATTCAAGGGGAGGCCTGGCTCGTGGACACAGGGGAAGGCGAAGGAGCTGAGATCGGTGCGAATGGGTTGAGTGCGGTGCGGCCGTCGCCTGCTGACCGGTTCCTGCTGGTGCTGCTGCAGGCTCTGAAGGTGGAAATGCCTCCGTTGTTACAGGAGCTGGCAGTGCTGACAATTGAGAACGAGGAGGCAGCAAAGGAGGGTGAGGGTGGGGAGGGAGGTGAGGGCGGCGAGGGGGAAGGCGAAGTGGACGGCGAGGAAAAGGGCAAGATGAATGCGGACGCAGCGTGGGCAGCGCTGGGCGGCAATCTGGACCGCAAGGCAGGAGGAGGAGGGCTAGGGCGCGCAGGGGGGCTGGGCAAGGGGGAGATCACGCGCATGCAATCCCTAGTGCCCACCAGCGAAGACTGGCGGTCCGTGGTGAATGAGATGGTGTGGGAGCCGCCGAAAGATAATGACGATGATCCATCGCTGCTGCAGATAGAGGAGGAGATTCCGGAGGAGACAGGTCCTCCTGAGGAGGTGAAGCGGCTGTATCGGGTATTAGGGGATTGCTATTGCCTGGTTGAGAAGGTGATTGCGGCCCTGGCTGGGGCTGCTGCGGAGGTGGAGAAGGGGAAGGGGAAGGGGGGAGCGGGCGGGGAGGAGAAGGGTGGGGAGGAGGAGGGGAAGGAGGTGGCGACGCTGGTGGAGAGGCTGGGGGTGGAGACGGTGCAGGCGTGTGTGAAGCTGGTGGATGGCATCATCAAGGACGTGCTCTTCTTCCTGCAACTCGCTCAGGTGCGTGCTGCTGCAGCCTTAAAGTTGACTCAAGGGTATCGATCGGTAAGGAGTGTGTGTGAAGCTGGTGGATGGCATTATCAAGGCTGATTTCATCTTCCTGCACTTTGCCCAGGTGAGTTGAGACAGCACTCCAAGAGCCATCTCGGTGCAGCTGTTTGTGAAATATTTCTGCGTGCATTATTGTGCCTTCGTGTGTTTTTATGTTGATCGTTGCGCCCTCATGTGTTTCTGTGTGCATTATTGCTCTCTCGTATGCGTTTCTGTGAGCAGGAGCGGGAGCGGTATTCACACGATGGAGTTTTGTCTGCCATCAAAGTGCTGGGAAGGTACTAGCACCCTGCTTTCCCCACTCTAGCCACCAGCGTTGCACCGCACAGCACAGCACAACAAGTTATCGCAACCCATCCGGCACATATTATTGCATGAGATCACAAAGCATATCACTGCATCTCATCGCATCATCACATCAAATAATACCACAGCTCATACCTCCCTCCCCAACTTATGACCCACTGTTTCTTTTCCCACTTCAACCCCCCTTTCCCCTCCTTTCCCCCTCCCCCCTCCCCCTCTCCCCCTCCTCCCCCCCCCCTCCCCCCCCTCCCCCCCCCTCTCCCCCTCCCCCTCCCCCTCCCCCTCCGCTTCCCCTGGCAGCTACCTGGCGGTGGCACCATCAGCGCATCGCAAGAGGGTGGGGCGGCTGCTGGGCTTCATGCTGGGCGTCAAGGGCGAGGACGAGGACAGGTGAGTGCACTTATACCGGTGGTGGGAGTAAGTGTGGGTGGGAGTAAGTGTGGGTGGGAGTAAGTGTGGGTGGGAGTAAGTGTGGGTGGGAGTAAGTGTGGGTGGGAGTAAGTGTGGGTGGGAGTAAGTGTGGGTGGGAGTAAGTGTGGGTGGGAGTAAGTGTGGGTGGGAGTGCCCTGACTCATCACTGTGCCGCCCCCCTTCACAAGCCTTTAGACACCTCCTGCCTGCTCTTACACCACCAGGCGCTTCAAACTACTCCTCTCCTCACTCGGCCTCACTCTTCACTCCTCCCTTCACCTTCCTCTGTCCTCCTCACTCCTTCTGTCCATTGCTCATGCCCCCTCCGCCCTCATGCCTCCCCCTCATCACGGCAGGCCGCTACTGGCATCACGCTACCTGCTGCCAGCCCTGGTGCACATGAGCAGTGAGCCCCGCGGCTGCAACACCATCATCAAGCGCGGCGGCCACCGTTTCGTGAGCACTCCTCCCCTTCCTCTGCCCCCTCTCTCCCCTCTCCCCACTCTCCTCCCTTTTGCCTTCCCCTTCCCTAGCATATCGAGTATGTAGCAGAGACAGGTTGCACGAACATGACACACGCCCTCCTTTCGCCTCACTCCCTGCACGCTCCTCCATCTACCCCTGTCTCTTGCCCCTCCCCAGCCGATTTAGTACGTGGCGGAGACGGGCATGACGGGGCGAACGAACATGACACACAGACTCCCCCACACCCCGCTCCCCTCTCTCTTGACCTCCCCCTTCCCCCAGCTCATTGAGTACGTGGCAGAGACCGGCCGCACCAACATGACGGGGCAGCTGCGGTCGGGGGCGGAGGGGCAGGCCAGCCTCATGCAGGCTGCTGACGTCATCCTCAACCTCTTCTCCCTCGTGAGTCGAGTCGCCTCTCGTCAACTCTACTCGCCTGTGTGCGTCGCCGTGCCTTCCTTGTGCCGCCGTGCCATGAGCTTGTTTTGTGGGCTGCCATGCCTTGGAGCTTTCAGGCTGCCACTCTGTGCGTTTAGCCTTAGACTGCCCCAATGGTTGTGCTGTCTTTCCTCACTGGCTTCTTGTTCTGCTTGCATCCCCACCCCACCATCCCCACCATCTTACCATGCAACGCACCCAATGCAGAGGCGGAACATCAAGGTGCCTCTGGACCCACATGACTTTGTGCCACTGCTCGCATCCATGGCTGCATGGAGCAGCGTCAAGAGTAAGCATGCTACAACCCATGATTCGCATGTAGCTACTACAGTGTTTGATTGTCCATTACCACACGCTTTGCATCTCTCTTCTTCCTTTCCCCACTCTACAAACCTCTCTTTCCCTCCTCCGCCTCTCCCCTCCACCCCCCTTTCCTCCAGGCACGGACCCAAAGATAACCTACAAGACTCTAGCAATGGCAGCATGTGTCAACGTATCAATGCTGCAGCTTTCATCAGAAGACATTGTCAAGAAGAAGCTCGACCTGGCCACCTACAAGAAGCCGCGCGCCTCACCTTACCCTTCTCCCCGTTCCCCTCCCTCTCCCCTCTCCCCACAGGCACGGACCCAAAGATCATGTATAAAACCCTGGCAATGGCAGCGTGCGTCAACGTATCAATGCTGCAGCTTTCATCAGAAGACATTGTCAAGAAGAAGCTCGACCTGGCGACGTACAAGAAGCTGCCGGCGTCGCTGGCGGTGATTGTCAAGTTCCTGGAGTTTGGGCACCGCAACTGCAACTCCTTCAGCAGCGAGACTGAGATTAAAGAGCTCTGGGACGTCACGCTGGGATGTGAGTTGCTTGGGATTAAACAGCAAATGCTCCATTCCCTTTCCCCCTCTCTTCCCTACTCTCCTCCACCCCATTCCCACACGATGTCATTGCCTGACTCTTCTCCCCCACTTCCGCCTCTTCCTCCTCTCTTCCCCTCTTGTCCACCCACCTTGGCCCCACTTCCGCCACTTGCCCCTCTCCTCTATCTCCACCCACCAGCGTGTCAGGACTGTCTGCTGCTGTGGCCGCAGCTCAAGCGGGCTATAGTCAAGTCAGAGTACTGGGCTCGCGTCTCCAGGCAAAAGTAAGTGCTGCACCCATGGATTTGTGGCGAATATGTATGACATCTTTACCGAAACTCTTCACTCTCCACTCCCCCTTCCTAATTTCGACCCCTTTTTTTCTCTCCTAACTCGTTCCCTCATCTCCCCTGTGCTCTCCCCTCAATCCTCCCTCCCCCCCCCCCCCCCCTTCCTCCCCTCCCTCTTTCCTCTCTATCTGTGCATCTCTGTGTGAGCAGGGCGGTGACACAGGAGAGGTTGAACCAGGTGTGCAAAGACGAGCGACTGCGGAAGCTGCTGGCGCTCGTTGCCTTCTCCAACTGACACTCCTCGCCTTCTCCTCTCCTCAACTGACATCTTTCCTCCCCTTCTCTCCAACTGGCATCCTTCCTGCTGCCACTCTCCTGCAACTAACATGCACCTACCTCCACCTACCTCTTTCTCCCTTACCCAGTTGACTCGTGGTATCTGATTCCATGCCCATCCTGCCAACCTTCTCTTTGTTCCTCCACCTCACCAACTCCCAAGTAACAAGCACACCAGCCCCCCCCAGCCCCTCTCCTGCAAACCAACTAGTTCTTGTATCTAATTATCCCTGTAACGTGCACCAGCCTCAGTTAGCGAGACAGCACATGTAACCCTTTTTATTATTACTGTTGGGCCTGAGCCGAGGCCAAGGGATGTGACTTGCTGTGTGCAGCGCACGCAAGCAATCCCTTGCATTTTCCTCGGTATGTGAGTTGTGGGTTCTAGAGCTCTAGAGCACTCGCCGTTCCCTTCCCCTCCATATGTTGGCCTGTCTTTTGCTAAAGCCCAAGTCTAGAATGGTGATATTTCATATTATTTCATAAATACTGAACTTGAAAATCTGTTCGCGAACTTAGACGAGTGCTTAGTTCGCCTAAGCAGGGTGGCGAGGGGTGACGGGTGCCAAAACGAGACCCAGCGTACCGTCATCGCCCGGATATAAGACATATATGTCTTATCTCGTACACGGGCAAAAATGCTTGAGTTATCTTGTAAACGGGATGGTTTAGGGTGTCTTATAAATCTTATAAATGGACAAAGAACCGTTTAGAAGATACCCCCTCGCTATACATTTGCCCCTAACTCCTACACTTTCTTAACCCGTACACAGAAATATGTGTCTTATAATGAGGCTAGCCTGTTTATAAGAGACACCCGTATAATAGACAACCCCTGTCTACTATTCAACACTGTCTTATATCCGGGTGATGACGGTACTGTTTCAACTTTTTCGAGTTCAAGAATATTGAACGCTGCACAAAGGACAAGACGAGATGCACTGAGTCTGACGCGTCAAAGCTCCGATGCAAGGCCCGAGAGGGTTGTGCGGGTGATAGACAAGTACACAAGTCTCTTTCAACACTTATTTCTGTTGTAAAGACTTACGTTTTTGAAATGAGTACCACGTTTTTTAAATAAGTACCACTAATACCTTTGGGTTGTATGGTGAGGTGATTCACTGCTGATGAAATCAGTGACATAAACCAAGCGTATCAGACAGTGTTGGATCATGTAAATGATTCCTAAATATACTTATCTAATCCATCTCCCCCAGTCTTCCGGTTCACATGCGCGAAAAGTGAGTGGTGATGTTGTTGCACATGCATTCTGCGAGGCGCGAAGCAGGGGTGAAATTCGAGAAATCCCTGGACTGGATGCAAGACGGGGAGTAGAGATGGGTAGAGAAAAAACATACGAGTAGGTAGAGGGTTGGGATGAGAGCGGGGGGGTGGGGGGGAAAGTGCGCATACGAAAGGGGGAAGAATGAGGGGCTGAGAGGGAGGGAAGGAGAGGGGATAAGGGCGAGATGAGTGGAGGGAGAGGGAGGGGAGTGTCGGGGAGTTTGGGAAGGGAGGAGAAGAGGAGGGAAGGAATGAGAGCAGAAGAAAGGAGAAAACTGGGCAGAGACAAAAAGGAGGAGATAAGAAAGAGTGGGAAGGGAATTCGAGGGAAGAGAGGGCAGGGAGGATTCAGGCACGCGACGGGGCAGAGGGAGAAGGGAAGATAGGAGACAAGAGGCAAGGGAAGTGAGACGGTCAAGGGAAGGGAGGCGTGGGTCTGAGAGTGAGGGAAGATGGGCGGAGGGCGTGGAAGGGAATGGGGGACTCAAGGGGGAATGCGTGAGCGATGGGTGTGCGTGAGTGATGGGCGTGCGTGAGCGATGGGCGTGCGTGAGCGATGGGTGGAAAAGAATGAGGGGAGAGGACGGATGGAAGTAGGAAAGTTGGGACGGAAGAGGGGGGACAGAGGGACGGGAGATTGGGTAAGGGGGGGGATTGGAGGGTTGGAACTACGGGATAGGAAGCGAGAAGCCCCGAGTAGGGAGGGGGGAACCTCGCGCATACGGAAGGGGGGAAAATGCGCGTACGAAAGGGGGAAGGCTGCGCGTACGGAAAAAAGGGAAAATGCGCGTATGAAAGGCAGGTTACCATGTTCTTGGGCGAGATCATGTTCAAGAATCTTGAACTTGAACCCTTGCCATTCTAGACTCGGGCTTTAACCATCAACAAGTTGATAGCCTAGATTGATACATAACTTTTCAGGTATTAAAATTGTCAAGCACTTCAAAATAGCAAGTTGAGACATCAGACGAAATTGTCTAGAGAGAGCTTCTTACTCAAGGCTTGTCTCTACGGTACCTTTCATTTCATGTCATTGGTCAATCAGTCACTTCACTTACACGTCAATCAGTCACTCACATACGCCTACAGGAATTCATGAGCTTTCTAAGCATTTGTCGTAAAAAACATCCAAAATCATAGGCGCCGAAGTTTTCTCGAATATGCAATACCATTCAGGTTGTTGAATGTTTTTCTCTATGCCTATAGGGATTCATCAGCTTACTAAGCATTTGTCGGCAAAAACAAACGAAATCATAGACGCCGAACTCTTCTTTGTGTACAAACCAAACCGAAAATGCTAAAAAACATTTGAACATGAGCCACTCGAATATGCAATAAAATTCAGGCTATACAATGCTTTTCGGCGTTCAAACACACACATTACCGTATTACCCCGGATAAAAGCGCAGGTGCGCTTATAATAAATCAGTGTTTTTTAGGGGGGTGCGCTTATAATTGAGTAAAAAATATAAGCGCATGCGCTTATAAAATGACAAGTATATAATTACAATTTTCAGACACCAAACTGTACATCTCGTGCCTGCCATTTCAGTCGAGTCGATTTTACAAGGGGTTGTGAGTGAAATTTTCGCGCGCGATGGCAAATACATTCGATGTGACTCAGAGGGTGCCCCTGACAGCTCATGCTGACTGGACTCGCAGCCTGTGCAGGGTTCAAACCGGACAGAACCGAATTTCAAAAGTATCAGCCTGCTAAAGTAAAAATCGTTACAGTAATTTCACACGTTTTTTTAATTTAAAATTAGGATGCGCTTATAGTAAATCAAGGTTTTACAAGGGGTGCGCTTATAATTGAGGATCGGCCATAAGCGCATTGCTCCAGATAGAAGCGCATGCGCTTAACATAGGCCTGCGGTTATATCCGGGGCGATACGGTAGAACCTTTTCAACTTGGTTCATGCGCAACGAAAAGTTCGGCGCCAATGTTTGCTGTTTTGGCCGACAGAAACCTAGAAAGCAGATAAATCCCTACACGTAGGGAAAAGCATTCAACCACCTGAATGCTATTGCATATTCGGGTGGCTTATGTTCAAACACATCTAATAGAGCCTCTTCGACTTAGTTCCTGTGCAAAAAAAAAAAAGTTTGGACGATTTTGGCTGTTTTGGCCGACAGATGCCTAGAAAGCGCATGAATCCCTATAGGCGTAGGGAAAGGCATTAAACAACCTGGATGTTATTGCATATTTGAGTTGCTCCAGGAAAAGTTTTGCGCCTACGATTTCGGCCATTTTGGCCGACAGGTGCCTACAAAGCGCATGAATCCCAACAGGCGTAGGGAAAAGCGTTCAACAACCTGAACGTTGTTGCATATTCGAGTGGCCCATGTTCAAATACACCTATTAGAGCCTCTTCGGCCTGGCTCTTGAGCAAGGAAAAGTTCGGCGCCTACGATTTCAGCCGCTTTGGCCGACAGGTGCCCACACGACGTATGAATCCCTGTGGGCGTAGGGAAAAGCGTTCAACAACCTGAACATTGTAGCATATTCGAGTGGCCCGTGTTCAAATACACCTATTAGAGCCTCTTCGGCATGACTCTTGTGCAAGGAAAAGTTCGGCGCCTACGATTTCGGCCGTTTTGGCCGACAGGCGCCTACAAGACGCATGAATCCTTACAGGCGTAGGGAAAAGCGTTCAACAACCTGAACGTTGTTGCATATTCGAGTGGCCCATATTCAAATACACCTACTAGAGCCTTTTTGGCCTGGTTCTTGTGCAAGGAAAGTTCGGGGCCTACGATTTCGGCTGTTTTGGCGGACAGGCGCCTACAAGACGCATGAATCCCTACGGGCGTAGGGAAAAGCGTTCAACATGTCAGAGGTCCACTGGAGATCCCCGATGATCCTAGGGAAGGGTTACAGGCACGTCGGCCTGGGGGGTTATGGGCGCACTCACCCGCTACACAAACAAGCCCTTTTATCCCAGTGGTTAGTGACTGGGATTCTGACATGGTATCAGAGCGAAGGTCTCGGGTTCGATTCCCGGTGTGTGCACTTCGGGCATCCCAGTGCGGGGGGGTGTCAGAGGTCCACTGGAGATCCCCGATGATCCTAGGGAAGGGTTACAGGCACGTCGGCCTGGGGGGTTATGGGCGCACTCACCCGCTATATTAACAAGCCCTTTTATCCCAGTGGTTAGTGACTGGGATTCTGACACAACAACCTGAACGTTGTTTTATATTCAAATGGACCATGTTCAAATACACCTATTAGAGCCTTTTCGGCCTCACTCTCGTGCAAGGAAAAGTTCGGCGCCTACGATTTCAGCCGTTTTGGCCGACAGACACCTACAAGACGCATGAATTCCTAAGGGCGTAGGGAAATGCGTTCAAAAACTTGAACATTGTTGCATATTCGAGTGGCCCATGTTCAAATACACCTATTAGAGCCTCTTCGGCCTGGTTCTTGTGTATGGAAAAGTTCGGCGCCTACGATTTCGGCCGTTTTGGCCAACAGGTGCCTACAAGACGCCTGAATCCCTATGGGCGTAGGGAAAAACGTTCAACAACCTGAACATTGTTCCATATTCGAGTGGCCCATGTTCAAATATACCTATTAGAGCCTCTTCGGCCTGGTTCTCGTGCAAGGAAAAGTTCGGCGCCTACGATTTCGGCCGTTTTGGCCGACAGGTGCCTACAAGACGCATGAATCCCTAC